ACTTTACCTGAAACTTGAACGAAGAGAATAATTAACATGTATTTTCTTGTGTTGAAGATTTGCCCTGCTTCAGTTGAATTTTGTAATTACGTCACGGCTCATCGTAAAGGCGTGCACGGTCGTCTCCTCTCGGGGAACATAGGGATCGAATTCGCGAGAGAAGCTGAAATCAGCTGAGGCTCTGAGCTGTCTCGTAATTTACCCAGGAGCTATAAGTCGATTTTCGTAATCCCCGCAGCGGTTCTCCACCGCGTGTCTCTCTCGCTGGACACCATAGAGATGAAAAGGGTCGAGATATTTGAGCAACGTAAAAACTAACGATTTGCGATACGCTCGAATAGGCCCGTATAAGACTTCTGGTCTCTTAACTTGATTCTAGTAAACAAAGACGACGGTGCTTACATAAAGCAATAATGAAACCGCTGAACGTCCTTCTGGACACCATCTTCTTGTTTTCAGCTGATGGGCTGAGGGGAAGTTTGAGAAGATTGAGTTGAGTTTAAGAATTTGATCAAATAACGTATAATGATGGATAATATATTTTCATCTAGCTTAACCGTCTTGTATGTGGACGGAATCTCATTGACGACCTCTATTGCCGAGGCTGTTTACCTCACAGAGCAGTTAAAAAACGACAAGATACAGCGATATCATAATTAGCAAGAAAAATATTATCTTTTTAAAGCACTGCTGTATTTGAATAAGGCTCTGACGGGAAATCTCCTGAATCATACTTTTGTACATTTGATACTAAGAACAGTTTGGAGGGTTCCAATGGGTTGATCGTTAGTCGTTAAATGCCAATAGTTAAGCCGTTGGGCGCAAAAATTGACAAACTTTAACCGTTGGTTTTATAAAAAATTAACTATGAAAATTATTCTGATGACCACAATGGAAAGATATTAACCGTCAGCTGTCAATTTGTCTAACTTTTAACCAAAGCCATCACTCCATTGAGACCCTCAATTTATATTACCATTTTAAATTGTCTCTTTGTCGGAAAAGAGGGCTTGTAAAGAAATTATTGTAAAATTCACTTCTCTCCTACCTTTACAGTTACATTTTCGTCAGTGAAATATTTTCCAGAAGTTTCTTTTATTCTTTCTTGTATTTTCGTTCAGTGCGCGCCAGAAGAACGTGTCGCGGTGAACAATTCACTGGATAAAAAACATGAATGTGTTATTGTCATCATTATCCCAGCGGAGAAAGTTTAAATAAGAATTGAAAGGAATAAGAGAAAACTCAGTGATCAATTTTCAAATCTCCTATTCTCCCCTATGAAGCTCTGGCGCAGTATTTGATGACAGGGCAGAGTAACTATGGATGTCTTTATCAGCCCTTTCAATAAAAAAATGCTCATTAAAAAATTCCTTTCTGACTTGTTTGAAAATCGAGGAATAATATAATAAAGCTGGGAGAAAGATCTTAAGAATGGATAATAAGAATCATTCTTTCCTGTAGGATTTAAAGAACTGCCCTTAACACAGTTAACTTTGTGTCATAATATACTGATGTTTCATTGTTATCTTTCCTTGTATAGACATTTTAAACATCAAAGAGAATAAATACCTCAAAAATATTTTCTCTGATCCCTTTCTTCGATTCAGATCGAACGGTCTTTAAATAGCAATGAATTCAAATACAGAACGCCATCTGCATACAGCTTTACCAGATCATTACCTAAAGATGAATATTCTTACGAATGCGCTGTCCATTAGTTTCAAGTCACCATTGATGACACTCACAAACATCTGTGCAATACCGTCAGCAATTGTGCCCTTTAGCCAGTTTTGCATTTTTATATAATATAATCGACATGGCGTGAGTCATCAACACATTACCAGCTTTTAAAGAATCAAATGTTTAGTTTAGAAGACAAAAAGAACAACGTTTTATCCAAAACATTCTAAAATGTAACGTGCCCTAAGCGCTCAAATACTTTTATCCCCTCCCCTCCCCTCCCCTCGGAAGGATAGTTTTCGGAAAGTGGTTTTGTAAGAGATCACAAAATGCGCCTTAAGGCGACAGTGGTGCCGAAACCGGGTATCGACGATTCCCCCCGAAAACTCATAATAACCGGAAGATATGATAACGTTTTTAAACATTTATCTGTAGTATTATTCTATCTTTTTTATCGGACGGCTGCAAGATAACGGAATCAGGAAGCTTACTAAACACGTTTTCAAAGATTTGACTAATTTGGAAGAGCTGTGAGTATAATAAAAAAGAATTATATATTAAAGTTCACACGGCAACCAGGTGGGTAATCATATAAAAGGACCTCTTGATGCAGCGTTTAGATCACCACTAATGAAGGCACTAGACAGGAATGTCGAAACGTTGGGTCTATGAATTGTAACTTCTTCGGTTACATTCATTAAAGCTGCAAACCAGAGTAGCATTAAACCATGTCAAAAAAAAATTATGTTTACAATTAAAATGCAAAAAAATGAAATATTGACTCTTTCAATATCAATGTTCTCCTCCTTTAAGTGTAACAGTATTCAAAAAGAGATCCCGCATGCAAGTTGCAGCGGGGTTGCGTTTGTACAAAACGCGCGCGAGCAAAACTTTTTGATGGATTATAATTGGATGAACACTTATTTCATAAAAGCACATGATGGGCCTATTTCAAGTCGCTTAAAAAATTATAATTGAGAGCGATTTTATAATATTAACATTAAGTAGGGCAACGTCACCGGACTCAAAATCCGCTGATCGCGAATTCCATCAAATTTCTGTGTCACGCTTGTCACGCAACTGATATAATAAGATAGAGAAGATATATAAACTGGAACTCAAAAAGTTCAAAAAAACTCATTTGAGTTTCCAGTTTGGCTAAAGGGCACAATTGCTGACGGTATTGCACAGATGTTTGTGAGTGTCATCAATGGTGACTTGAAACTAATGGACAGCGCATTCGTAAGAATATTCATCTTTAGGTAATGATCTGGTAAAGCTGTATGCAGATGGCGTTCTGTATTTGAATTCATTGCTATTTAAAGACCGTTCGATCTGAATCGAAGAAAGGGATCAGAGAAAATATTTTTGAGGTATTTATTCTCTTTGATGTTTAAAATGTCTATACAAGGAAAGATAACAATGAAACATCAGTATATTATGACACAAAGTTAACTGTGTTAAGGGCAGTTCTTTAAATCCTACAGGAAAGAATGATTCTTATTATCCATTCTTAAGATCTTTCTCCCAGCTTTATTATATTATTCCTCGATTTTCAAACAAGTCAGAAAGGAATTTTTTAATGAGCATTTTTTTTTTGTTGAAAGGGCTGATAAAGACATTCATAGTTACTCTGCCCTGTCGTCAAATACTGCGCCAAAGCTTCATAGGGGAGAATAGGGGATTTGAAAATTGATCACTCAGTTTTCCCTTATTCCTTTCAGTTCTTATTTAGACTTTCTCCGCTGGGATAATGATAATAATAGCATATTCATGTTTTTTCATCCAGTGAATTGTTCACCGCGACACGTTCCTCTGGCGCACACCGAACGGAAATACAAGAAAGAATAAATTAAAGAAACTTCTGGAAAATATTTCACTGAAGAAAATGTATTTGTAAAGGTAGAAGAGAAATGAATTTTGCAATAATTTATTTACAACCTCTCTTTTCCAGCAGAAAGACAATTTAATATGGTAATATAAATTGAGGGTCTCAATAATGTGATGGCTTATTCTGATGACCATTGTAGTCGTTAAAATAATTTTCATAGTTTATTATTTTTATAACTAACGGTTAAAATTTGTCAATTTTTGCGCCTAACGGTTTAACTATTGGTATTTTCAGACAAACGGTCAACCCCATTGGAACCCTTCAAATTGTTCTTATTATCAAATGTACTAAAATGTGATTCAGGGGAGATCCCGCTAAAGTCTTATTCAGGTACATCAGTTCTTTAAAAAGATAATATTTTTGTTGCTAATTATGATATCGCTGTATCTTGTCGTTTTTAACTGCTCTGTAAGGTAATGAGATTCGGCCCACATACAAGGCGGTTAACCCAGAGGAAAATATATTATCCATAATTTTACGTTATTTGATCAAATTCTTAAACTCAAATCAATCTTCTTAAACTTCCCTCAGCCCATCAGCTGAAAACAGGAAGATGGTTCCCAGGAGGACCTTCTGGGGTTTCACCGTTGCTTTCTGTAAGCACTGTTGTCTTTGTTTACGAGAATCTAGTTAAGAGACCAGAAGTCTTATACAGGCCTATTCCAGCGCATCGTAAATCGATATTTTTTGTGTTGCTAAAATATTTCGACCCTTTTCAACTCCATGGTGTCCAGCGAGAGAGACACGCGGCGGAGAACCCCTGAGGGTATTGCGAAAATCGAGTTAAATTACGAGACGATTCAGCGCCTCAGTTGATTTCAGTTGCTCTCGCGCATTCGATCCTCTTTACTCCCCGAGAGGAGACGACTGTACGCGCCGTGACGGTGAGCCGTGCGTGATGATAAAATTAAATTAGTGTCGGGAAAATTTTCAACACAAGAAAATACATGCTAATGATTCTCTATGTTCAAGTTTCAAGTAAAGTGTACATCCAAAACGATCACCTATAAAATTAGATAAGTAAATGAGTCATCCGATGAGCTCCGCGGCTCTGTTTTTAATGCGTGCTCGCAAAGTTTCGTCACTTACGTTCTATAACGAAATAATCTATCAAAAAGGCGATTAAAATACCACATTAATCAAATCTTCACGCCAAACTGAGAAATCGAAAGAAAAGTTTGAATGTGAATCTTACGCGTATCTTTTTCTTACTAGTTTTCATAGACATAACAAATCTCCACACTATTTGACACATATGCCATGGCTTTCGATCAAAACGTGTCGAGTTTGGCTTTCCGTTGTGGCTATATGAAATCCGCTTCCATTTTAGATACTGTCTCTAAACAGCTTTGTTGAAATTGAAATATCTCAAAACCTAGGCGAGGAGCCGCCATCTTTGTCCCTTCTTTTTTTCTTTATTTTACTTGCAGTTTTGTTAATACTGGAAGTACACCTTCAGAGAGTTGTCCCATGGTTTCACTCAAGTATACTCTTACAAGCTCCAAAAGGACATTACGTGGAACTGAATTTCACCATGGAGAGTTCATATCTAACACCCTGCATTGATGATAAGTACCTTGAGGTTCGTGATGGATACAACAAGTCTGCCAATCTTCTTGGTGTATTTTGTGGAAGGAACATCTCTGTTATTGTGCGATCCAGAGGACAGAACTTGTGGATCAGAAAATCAGCCCATAATTTTAGCAGGTTTCGGGGCTCGTACACCAACAAAACACTGAACTTTACAGGTATTGTCCTCTGAAATTACCAACTGAAACAATTCTAAGGTGTTTCTAAGTTGTTGTAACACGGATGGAATAGATGGCAATTACGAGTACTGCAACTCATTTGGTAATTTCATTTATTTGTTTTCTTCCAGTTGAACCCAACCTAGACAAGGTGGCCAAAACTCAATTTGTTATTTTCAACCAAACTTCATCTCTTTGGTGTCCAGCACAAGGTGCACCAGCACCATCTATAGTTTGGAGAAAGAACGGCATTGTGGTACAGAACAGTACAGGTGTCAAATATCAGCTTACCATTACTGAGGAGAACAATGACAAGTACAGCTGTGAAGTGAAGAAAGAGAATGGTTTTGACAAGAAAGAAATCCGTCTTGTCATTGAAAGTGAGTTTTTTCACAAACGAATTAAGTGGGGTGAGTTTTTAAAGAAACTGTGGTGCCTCTTCAGTGGGGAGTATTACTGAGTATTACTGAGATGACTTGGTTTTGCTCTTCGCAGAGCGAAACCTTTCTCCCTGACGAAGGGCTAACCCTCCAAACGTCAGCTTTAAAAACCCATTACGGTGGAAAATTTTCATTGTCAACTCAGTTGATAAAACTAAACTATTAATTTACAAACAATTGATTCTCAAATCAGTCTGGCGTAGAGAAAAATATACTGCACATTTGCAAAGTTTGCCTAATTGCATAAAAAATGAGCAACTCTAAACGCTCTCTAAACTTTTAAGCTGAAGGACTGCCGCAATAGTTTTATTGACCAGGAGCCAATGTATGAAGCGTTCACGAGATAACTAGATGGCAGCTATCATTTCAGAGTACTTCAATGCACACACTCAGAGAGTACCACCAAAGAGCCTCACAACAAAGAAACGTTAGTACATTCATATCGTCTTGCTTTATTCAAGGGTGCCCAAATACCTGTCGATGTACAATTGCAGTTGGAATCATGGACGCAGCTACTTGCATTGAATGTCGAGGAAAACACTTACAGTCAGTTCCACGGCACTTACCCTTTACTACAGCGAAATTGTAAGCGTTTCAACTCTTCTACTTTCTCTAGGCGGGGGTGTGGGGGATGGGAAATAATAAAAAGCAATGCACAAGACGTAAGATGTTCAATCTAACCCTAGAAAAATATCCCCATTTTAAAGAAAAAAAACCAAATAGAGCAGCCATCACCTGAAGACTTCCATAACAACTCGCCTTTGGTCTTACTGTAAGAGACTAATGTTATACTTTTGTCGCTATTGGCGATTGATGTGCTAAGAGTTAACACTGTTTACCGATACAGGGGTGATATTGTCTTATGTGATGGTTTGAAATAGTTTTAATACTTTCAGGTGGTTACAAAATAACAAGATCAAGAAGCTGCGAGGTGACTCATTTTCTCAGTTAGTCAGGCTGCGAGAGCTGTAAGTGAAACGTAGCATTCTTATATCGGTTATTTTACATGTTTAGGTTTACGATGTGGAATCCATCCTGCAGATACTAAGAGACTTCCATATCCGCATTGCACACAAACCAATCACAGGGGAGCCATATTGTTAACTACTAACTCAGTCAGTCAGCTTTTTTCACAAAAAAACTAGTTAAGGTAATTTTTTGCCATCTTTTCTCCCTGAGAGTTAAGCAAGTTAGTAACTTTCATCAGATTTAGTCCATTGCTAGTAAGACAAAGTGTTTCTTTATACTGCAAACTGGTTAATTGACTGATGTACAAGTTCTCTTCGAAAAGCTCTAAAGCAACAAAATAAATCAAACGCAAAACTACCTGAAAAGTAAAGATAAAATTGGAAAAATATAGCAGAAATAGCCGAGAAAACGTTGAAAAATCAGTTTACATTATACGTGAATCTTGTCGTAGAATCTTAAATGGAAACCAGATAGAGAGGCTACCGGCTGAAGTCTTCAAAAACAACTCCGAGTTGGCCTTCTTATGAGTAACCAGTAAATGTTTAATGTATTATTGGTTTGGTCTCGATTCAACCGCCATTTGCGTAGATTTATGTCATTTACTAACTTTGTGAGGAAAGGTTTTCTAGCCGAATGGTTTTTGTTATCTGACTGGAGGGCATTTCAAAAATGCCCAACTAAAATCCATAATGTATCCTTTTTGTAGGAGCTTAAGAGGGAACCAGATAGAGGAGCTACCAGCGGGAGTTTTCAGTAACAACAACAAGTTGCTCAACTTGTGAGTAGGAAGACTTTAGAAGTATTTTTACTGTCATATCCTTCTACAAATCCTTGTTAATTCTCAAATACTCAAATACTATTGTACGCTACTAATGAGTCCAGCCACAATCGTGTTGAGAGAGGAAACTTACCTCTTAGTTCATTTTCTAGAGTACCATAATATATATTTTTCAGCGACTGGAGAAGGTCCCACCACTTTTATAGAGACGATAAGCAAACCACGACGGCGACGGCGACGGCAACGGGGACATGGAAAAACAATAGCTCAGCACGTGCCTTTTAAGAAATTGACATTTCTTAGCCGTCCTATGCAAAACAACAACGTGAAATCCCCACAGAGAAGTCATTTTTTTTTAATACTGCAAACATGTTAACTGACTGATGTATAATTTCTCTCCGGAAATTTCAAAGTAACGAAATTAATCCAACGCAAAACTACCAGAAAAATGATGATAAAATGGCAGAAACAGCAACGAAAACGTTGAAAACGTTGTTTCTAAATTCAGTCCTTGAGGACTGAGACTGGACCTTACTTATGTTGATATAAATCAATTTGTTCAATCACGTTCAAGATTATATTAAAAGCGTTTGTTTGACCCGGACACGGCACAAATAAACTGTATTCCGACCGGAAAAAGTACGCAATAGCAGCAACACACAAGAGGTAGTATAATTTTAACTTAAGTCATGGAATATCTCTTCTTAGGTCCTTGGGTTATAACCAGATAAAGGAGCTACCACCTGGAGTCTTCAGTAATAACACTAAGTTGATCGAACTGTAAGTAACAGATGTCCACGCCCATTCTATATTTTAACCTTCGATGTGCTAAGAGTGTGTAATGTGTAAGTGTTTACTTAATATGATCCTCCTCAAGCTTAGTGATTTCAACGCCTATTTTTGATATTAACCTTCGATAGGATACGAGTGTAATGTCAGTGGTTACTTAATATGATCAAGACAGTACTCAAGCTGAGTGGGTGTAGTCAACCATGAAGAGAACCGAAAGAGAGTAGGACTGTTTGTATTTGGACAGTTTAATTAATGATTATTTCCTGGCATATGTCGGTGGTCCTCGTTTCGTAAATCCTATTTTATATTCCCTTGCTAACGATGTTTTATCAGTTTGTATAAGCGTGGCCAGTATGTAGAGGGAGGTACTTTCACGCGTTTCCTCTCAAAAGAACAGGTCTCGCACTCTGCATTTCTTTTTACACCAGTACTGCAATAGAACGTGAATAGGATTTATACATTTTCACGTATTGGTGATGCAAAGTTTCCAAAACTTACAGGTGGTTAAACGGCAACAAGTTGATGAATTTGCCAGGCGACTTATTTTCCCAATTAGTCAAGCTGCGGTGGCTGTAAGTGAAAATTCTTCCTTACATATAAACTATTTCAAGTGTCACAAGACTCCCTTTCAATTAATCGCTGATTAACATAATACTGATCGTATTTGGACAGAGAGAGAGAGCTTTTGCTCAAGTTTGAGCGGTCTTCTCAAAAGGACAGAACTCTGGGAAAAAGTTTGAAGTTAATTCCCGTCGATAGACGTATTTTGCGAACATTTTGGGTCTTTCAATATTGAGACGTTTTACTACATTTTTGTTCAATCAAGGGACTTCACTTCTCTATTCGAATAATATTTATACTTTATGCACAACTCTTAACTCAGTCGCTTATCAGCTTATCTCTAAGAATCCTCTCTCCTCGGTACAAAGATTGATAAATTATACCTCATTCCCGCTTCTCCACTACCTACCTTTTTCTCCGTAGCGCATCAAACTATAAAGCCGTCACAAAATATTATGACTTCAACATGCAAAGTGGGTATAAACTTAGCCGCATGCAAAACGGGTTAACAACATCACATGGTGGAATGCTTTACATTAGCAGCATGACACAAATAGAAACCGATAGGAGATGTCGAACTGAACACAAACGAGCGGCAGGAATAAAAAAAGTTATAGTTATGTGAACGATCACAAAATCCTTTATTAAAAAGTGCTACTGCCCGAGTCACTGCTCCATGCTTAACCTGCAGTGATAATTATTTTTTTTAACACTGACTAAATCTGGAAAAATGGGTTAAACTAATTAAAAATAGACATTAGATTCAGGGTATATCCTTTTTGAAGGTACTTGTTTGGTAACCAAATCAAAGAGCTGCCACCAGGAGTCTTCGTCATGAATACCAAGTTGACTCGCCTGTGAGTAAGCCATAACAGGTTTATATTCGAAATTATTTAAACTGTATTATTTCAATGTATTGCATTTATCACAACACTCACTTGTAAGCAGCTCAAAAAACTGAATGTTCAAAGAGACGCAATTAAAGTAACGTTAGAGAGCACAAAACCCTACCATTTGTAGAGAAGGTTTTCAATCCCATCACCTCCTCAAAAGACTTATTAAAACCATTCGAGTGCAAAGTAATGGTGTCTACAGCTGAGTCTTAAAACCTACATTTTTCGATGCCACACAAAATCTAAATGTGTTAACTACACAAAAGTAATCAGACTTAAGTCTACTCTTTTCTCAGTCGCACAACAGATTTAGCTCCTGGAATCCCTCTTCCGAGGTTCAAAAATAGACAAGTCTTAAGTTCTTCCATACCGTTCCCCTTACCCCTCTTTGACCCCTGATAACCCTTCACTATCTGCGTGGCACACAAAACTATAAAACCGTCATGACGTGAAACTGTAAACCGAGTTGAAACCTATATCCTGGCAAAACTGGGGTAAAACATCACATGGTCGACTGCCTTAGGTTGGCAAGAAAGGTAGGAACCTGTAGGACTGGTACGACTGAACACAAACAAGAGGCAAGAATCAAAACAGTTTATGGTGATGTGAACATTTTCATTAAAAAAAAAACACACTATTAACTGTTTGAACCTGGAATTCTAGGTCTTAGTAGCCCAGAATAGACTTCACTGAAGATAAAAATCAATGTATTCTTCTCGCAGGTACTTGGATGGCAACCAAATAGGAGCACTACCAGCTGGAGTCTTCACCTACAACACCAAGTTGACTCGCCTGTAATAAACACATTTATAGAATCACATTTGAAAATTTTGACTACTTGTTTATTGCACGTTCATTTGCAAACAGCTTACATATTTGCACCCATACTACGGAAAGAGTAAAAAATCGGGGATCTAAATCTAATTGTTTCAAGTCATATTTTTGCCTAGTATAATTTTTGTATCAAGGATCGTCTTTCCAATGTTATTTTATCTAAACACTTTACTGAACGAAAGAAAAACACCTTCTAACTTCAAATAACGGTTTTGAATTTTGAAAAAGAACGGCGGGCCAAGATGGAGAATTAAAGGAATTTAAACTACAAGGATAAAGCTTTAAGATGAACCTCTTAAAAAGACATATTGTAACTATTCGAGTGCAAAGTAATGATGGTGATAACAACTTAACCTTAAATCTTACATTTACCGATGCCACACAAAACCTAGATAAGTAAACTACAGAAAAGTAATCCAGAGCAACACACGAGGGACCTTTAACTCCCTACGAATATATGAATATATATAGACTTAAAAGTGGCAATCATCACATATCAAGTTATTATCATGTATCAAAATATCATTTTAAACACTATTTCAACCTGGAAATCTGGGTCGTAATAGCCCAGAATAGATAAAAAACAATATATACTTCTCGTAGGGAGTTGGATGGCAACCAAATAGGAGCACTTCCACCTGGAGTCTTCACTTACAACGCCGAGTTGACTCACCTGTGAGCAGTAAATTAAAATCCTTAGATTGCATCGATTATCCATACATTCGCCTCATTTATTAGACATCGGCAAAGTTTCTTCAAGCTCAATTCATGGTGAGTAACAGACGGTCGTTGGTGGCTTTAAAAGCCAGTTGACTTATTAAAGTCATTGGTCAAGCCGAAGCTGCTTTGGGCGCAAAACTTCATTCTCATGATCACTTTGTACAACCCTTCAACAAGGTGCACTGACAGTGGAATAGTTCATTTAATTAAGTGGCAAAGCAAGAATGAACATAGCTATTTCCAGACGAAAGACAAAGGTTACGTTTATCCTAACCGGCTATCGTGATGTGCTCAGTCCCGTTATTTGTTGATTATAAGCGAACGTTCAAAGAGCGTCTTCAACCACAAGGTAAATAAAATATAATTAGGGTCGCTTGTAAAGTAGCATGGTGAAGTGATCCTCACGTTAAGGCATTGAGCAGACTTGAAGAAACCTTAACATAAGCCTAACTTGTATTTTTACTTGTACATGATAGAATGTGAACTTTTGCTTAAAAAATTTCCAAGTAAGCCTACTGTTGTTTTTTAAGTTCAATTGTTCAGGACTGAGATTGTACGACACTTAAAGTGTTGATATATATAAATTTGTTCAATCACATTCAAAATAACATTAAACGCGTTCATTTGATTCGGGCACGGCACGAATAAATTGTATTCCGAACGAAAAAAGTATTCAACAGTAGCAGCACACAAGAGGTAATATAATTTTAAATAAAATTACGGAAAAAATCTAATCTTAGGGCCTTGAATAACAACCGGATAATGGAACTACCACCAAGAGTCTTCAATAATAACACTGAGTTGATCGAACTGTAAGTAACAGATATCCACGCTCATTTTTGATATTAACCTTCAATGTCATAAGAGTGTAGTGTCAGTGTTTGCTTAATATGATCAAGACGCTCCTCAAGTTTAATGGGTGTAGTCAACCATGAAGAAAATGAAAGAGAGTAGAACGGTTTGTATTTGGACAGTTTAATCAATGATCATTTCCTAGCATATGTCGTTGGTCCTCGTTTTGAAAATCCTATTTTCTATTCAGTCTTACGGTCGAACACGAATAGGAATTATTCATTCTTACGTATTGGTGATGCAAAGTCTTCAAAACTTACAAATGGTTACACGGTAACAAGTCGAAGAATTTGCCGGGCGACGTATTTTCCCAATTGGTCAAGCGGCAGTGGCTGGAAGTGAACAGTCATCCTCATATATTAACTATTTTTCTAAGTTTTATTTGAGGGGTTTTGAGGAGTGACTGTTCAATACAGGTGAATGACAATACACACTGGGACTCAGTAAAGAGTGACCGCGACCGCTTAGTAGAGGCGAATATTACAGTGATTGATGGAAAACAAATTCGGGAATTTAACAAAAGACCGCTTAATACAGGGTGACAGCTTTATACGGTGCTGCTTATTAGAGGTTCAACTATATATCCTTTATGTAGGTTCTTACATGACAATCACATAGCAGAGTTACCACTACGCGTCTTCAACAACAACATTAATTTGACTCGGCTGTAAGTAAATAACATCTAACATCTCTAGGACAAATATATTTAAGGAACCAATACAGACCCAAACATGCGTGTAGAACACCGAAGTTCATAATGGTAGGATCCAAATCCAAACATATTTAACAAATCTCGGTTCAAAATTTTAATAAATATTCAGTTCCAACTGTTATCAGTTCTTTTAAATGCAGAAGTTATGCAGATGCACGTAGTTTGTGCTTAACGTAGGAGAGCAAAAAACTCAGACATTCGAAAGTAATTTGATATTAAGAGGTCTAGTTCTGAGAGCATCCGCTGCAGTTTCCAAGGTATTCTCTTGAAGGAGAGGACTCTGGGGACAAGTTTGTTCCTAATTCCGTCTCGACTGACGTAATTTGCGAACAAATTGTTCAGTGACATTGTTTAAATAATGTTCAGATATAAATTCTACTCTTTTCTCCGTCGCACATCAGATTTAACTCCTGGAGAACAAGAACGGATAAGGTCAAAGTTCGTCCATCCCGTTCTCCTTTCCCCCTTTGACCCCTGATAACCCTTCACTATCTGCGTGGCACATAAAACTATAAAACCGTCATGACGTGAACCTGTAAACCGAGTTAAAATCTAGCTTCTGGCAAAACTGGGGTAAAACATCACGAGGTCGACTGCCTTACGTTAGCATGACTGGTGGGAACCTGTGGGACTGGTACGACTGACAAAAAAAAAAAAAAAAGGAGAGGCAAGAATCAAAATAGTTATGGTGACGTGAACATCTTAATTTATAAACAACACTGTCGGCTGGGTCTCTGTTTCATGTTTAACTTAAGGCATTTATTATTTCAAACACTGTTTGAATCTGAAAATCTGGGTTATTAAGACCCCAAAAAAATGTATTCTTGTCGTAGGGACTTGGATGGCAATCACATAGGAGCACTACCACCTGGAGTCTTCACTTACAACACCGAGTTGACTCGCCTGTAATAAACACATTTGAAAATGTTGGTTACTAGTATATTTTAAACTATTACAACGCGTCTTTGCAAACAGCCAACACAATCTCCGTAGCGCATTAAACTGTAAAGCCATCACAAAGTATTATGACTTCAACTTGTAAAGTGGGTATAAACCTAGCCGCATGCAAAACGGGTTAACAACATTACGTGGTGGAGTGCGTTACGTTAGCAGTATGATACCAGTAGGGACCGGAAGGAGATTTCTAACTTAAAACAAACAAGCAGCAAGAATCAAAGTAGTTATGGCGATGTGAACCATCACATTGCTAAAAAACATCCATTATTAAAAAGTACTACTGCCCGGGTCACTGCTCCATGTTTAACCTGCGGTGATGACTAAATCTGGAAAAATGGGTTAAACTGACTAAAAATAGACATTAGATTAAGGGTATATCCTTTTCAAAGGTACTTGTTTGGTAACCAAATCAAAGAGCTGCCACCAGGAGTCTTCGCCATGAATACCAAGTTGACTCGCCTGTAAGTAAGCCATAACAGGTTTATATTAGAAATTATTCAAACTGTATTATTTCAATGAAATGCATTTATCACAACACTTTAACAACATCCATTATTAAAAAGTACTACTACTTAGGTTACTACTCCATGTTTAACCTGCGGTGATGACTAAATCTGGAAAAATGGGTTAAACTGACTCAAAATAGACATTAGATTAAGGGTATATCCTTTTCGAAGGTACTTGTATGGTAACCAAATCAAAGAGCTGCCACCAGGAGTCTTCGCCATGAATACCAAGTTGACTCGCCTGTAAGTAAGCCATAACAGGTTTATTCAAACTGTATTATTTCAATGAAATGCATTTATCACAACACTTTAACAACATCCACTGTTAAAAAGTACTACTATCTAGATCACTGCTCCATGTTTAACCTGCAGTTATGATTATTTTTTTTTAACATTGAGTAAATCTAAAAAAATTGGTTAAACTTAGTCAAAATAGACATTAGATTAAGGGTATATCCTTTTCGAAGGTACTTGCATGGTAACCAAATCAAAGAGCTGACACCAGGAGTCTTCGCCATGAATACCAAGTTGATTCACCTGTAAGTAAGCCATAACAGGTTTATATTCGAAATTATTCAAACTGTATTATTTCAATGAAATGCACTTATCACAACACTTTAACAACATCCATTATGCTCCATGTTTAACCTGCGGTGATGACTAAATCTGGAAAAATGGGTTAAACTGACTCAAAATAGACATTAGATTAAGGGTATATCCTTTTCGAAGGTACTTGTTTGGTAACCAAATCAAAGAGCTGCCACCAGGAGTCTTCGCCATGAATACCAAGTTGACTCACCTGTAAGTAAGCCATAACAGGTTAATTCAAACTGTATTATTTCAATGAAATGCACTTATCACAACACTTTAACAACATCCATTATTAAAAAGTACTACTACCTAGGTCACTGCTCCATGTTTAACCTGCAGTGATGATGATTTATTAATGATGATTAAGCCACGATTCAGTCACAGATAGAAGGTGAAGACGACGAGATAACATAAGATCACATAGCGACGATACTTTGGTTTTCAGTAAGCGAGCATTCCAAACACCGAAACGTATAGGTGAACTACAGCATGGCCGATTTTATATCAGCGGAATACGAACAAGATTGTTGTCATTCCGTCCTGAGTGAAATGCAAGTTGGTGACGACGAGGTGTCATGGCGGGTTGAATATTAAAAACCTTCGTTGCTTCACGTGCCATGACTGTTTCACTCCAGCATCCACGATAGGGCCGTTTTCATTTGGATCTTGAAGATGAAGAAGTTAGTCCAGGATTTAGTTCAACATCCATATGGACGTTGATGTCAATTTAACAGGGAGAGAAAAACAAAGATATTAATGCTTAGTCCATAAGCACACAAGCCGCAATACAAACAGCTTTCGCTTCAAGCGAAAGAAACTGCTCTGGTGAACTCTTAAAGTCGCAACTTTCAAGTCAAAAACTTTGTAAAGACGAGAAAAGTCGACTAAAATAGATGCTGACATAAAAAGCGTCGGAAATAAGACAGGAAAATAACGAGCATGAAGACGCGCTGCAGCCATTGTTCGGCGCATACAATCTGTCCTGCAATGTCCAGCAATGCGCCAGTATAAGCATGGAACGACATTTCTATTGGCTGCACTGCAAGGTACTTGAAATACCGCTCATAATCTGTGTAGTTTAAGATTGATGCTACCGCTCCCATGTCGACTTCCATCCGGAATTCTTCAATCTGCACAGGGAACTTCATAGCAGGTGCTGCAAGTCCTGACTAACGCAGCTCTAATTTCTAACTCTCTTCCAGAGTGAAAATGGACCCGAAAAATTCATCTCCTATGTTCTCCTGCAGTCCAGCTTCTGAATCCTGTTCCGTGTGATGTACATGTTGTTTGCACGCCATCTCTTTTGGTGGTGGTTTTGCATTGCGACACTCTGACTATCTGACTATGACCCGTTAAATGGCAGTTAAAAAAAAAAAAACTCAAAATCCTTGTAATTGCATTTTTCTGGGGTGTGGTTGGCTAACCCACAGCGAAAACAGCGTTTCCTTTGGTGACGTCGACCCACTGAGCGGCCGCGTGAACACACGTTGTCACGCTTAACCTGATTTACGCCCGACGCAGAACTTTCACCATGAGGATTTCCTCTAAAGTGTCGTACATCCTTCTACGCTATTTTTTGGTCGATTGCAGCGTCCCCTGCTTCTTGAAAAATGAAGTTGGCCGATAATCATTTTCCGCTTAATCTGCTCCGCGCGTAGCCCGCAGATGAAACGATCGCGTAGAATATCATTTATAAGCAAGTTGGTGAATTCACATTTTCCCGTGAGACTTTTTAACCCGCTCACAAACTCCACGATGCTTTGCCCCGGTTTCTGAATTGCAGAATAAAATCGGTCTCTCTCTACGACTTACTAGCCAATGGGCAAGTAATAACCACTCAGCAGCTTTGCAAGCTGGTCAAAAGTCTTTGTATTTGTCCAGTAAAAACAAATCCTTTAAGACTCGATAAGCACCACTTCCAAGAGATGTTAAGAGTATTGCTCTTCGTTTAGCGGGACTGTCCGTGTCGTTCCTAATATCGTAAGCGGTGAAATATTCTTGCAACCGTTCGATATCTTCAGACTCAGCATGAGGTTTACGTTAGGTTGAACTGATATCGTAGATTTAAAACCGGATTTTCTCGTTCGTCGATGTTGGCTGTTCGTACTCCAGTTTACCTCTTCGCCGCTGTAGTGTTTAGCGTCGAATTAAGTCTTAAAGACACGAAGAAAGCTAGACAGAGGCTTATTTTCCCACGA